TTTAGAAAGCAGTCCAGAGCTGTTTCTGCATTGAATTTCAAAACAAATTGAAGGATTTTTTTGTTTGAATTCTAAATGAGTCTTATGTGACTGCTTCAAATACTATAAGTATTACTAGTGCTGCTTCTGTTCTTCATATTACTGTTTATTGTCCTGTCAGACCAACAGGCGGAGGTGAAGGTGGAGGAGGGGTCATAGTTTGTCACCCTAGCCTGCAGAACAAAGTCTGAGCTGAGGACACCACAGTGGAGTGGACTCACTCTGACTTTGGACTCATGATGGTCCATGTGCATCCAAATGACAGTAAACAAACAGGACAACCTCTACTGTGGTTGCACGAATATAAACAAAGACCTGCTGAGAACTTGAGACCTCAGTCTGACCCTGAAACTCCACACACACACACACACACACACACACACACACACACACACACACACACACACACATGGATACATCTGCACCATCTACAGGGACAAAGACTTCCTGAGACAGAAAGTATGCTGCAGGTCAAAGGTCAGTTGGGATTAGGAAAAAAGTGAAATCGTAAACAGGATAAAAGCAGTGTGAGAGGGCTGTTACTTTTATACTTGATAATAAAACGAACAGATGCAATGAGAGTTATGTTTCTAAGGAAGTAAATGACATGAGAGTGAATATAAACAACCGTACACATCCCTACGACTTGTTTTGGAGGTAGGACTCACCAAGGTTCAGTGTTAGATCCTGGGCGAGGCAGATCTAATTTAAGAATAGATGGGATTGGCTGTCGGAGGGTCGCTTTTTTGAACTGCAGGTCCTTGAAGGGTAATACAGTAGAGGATATTTACATAGAGGATCTCTATGTAAATATCCGATAGCAGCTACTACCACCACAGACTGTTTTCCTTCGTGGTCATGAAGGAAAACGCTCGGCTGGCATTTAAAAGGGCAATTTTATTCCCTTCAAGGACCTGAAGCTACATAAAGCACCCCCCAACAGCTGAACCCATCTGCTCTCTGATTGGATTGTTACATTTGTGATTGACATGACATTGACCAATCAGCTGAAAGGAAGAAAAATCAGGTCAAAATTCGTACTCGTAGGTTGAGAGTCACACACAGCCAGGGAACCTGAGTGCAGAGATTTAAACATAGTTGTTTGCTTTGTATCTGTAAACAGACCTTAACAAAATCAACTTGTAACTTGTGTAAAAAATCTTTACAAACAAAATTCTCATCTGTAGATGCACAAAAATAAAATTTTCAAAAATTTTGGTTTACAAGGGTACAAAACTCTCAGAGACACACAACACAATGTTCACATTAAGTGGTGAAGGAAACACTTACTATAACAGCTTACTATTGTGCAGTCAAGAGTCCATGTTTCAGTGTTCAAACACCTGTCTTGGGTTTCTGAAGCTAATTTGTCACCTGTGAGGACTCTGGGACAAACACACAGCTTGCAGTTCATTTCTACATCTGTTTGTGTTTCCTCGGTTTCCCAGCATGCCCTGGCTGTGGTGGTGGAGGTGAATGAGGGGGAAAGATCTGTCCTGCTGCCCTGTATGTACTCAGGTTTCATACCTGTGGACCCCACAATGATGTGGAATCGCAGTGATCTTCATCCCAAATCCGTCCACCTACGACGAGGAGGAGGAGATGATCTCAGAGGACAAAACTGGCGTTACAGCAGACGCACATCGGTGAGGCGTGATGCTCTGCACACTTTAGACTTCAGCCTCACTCTGAAAAAACCACAACTGATCGACAGTAGCAGCTACACCTGCTCCATCAGTGCTGGGAGAGAGGAACAGACACTGACAGATATACAGCTGCAGGTCAAAGGTCAGCAACAAACACCTGCTTATCATGCAGGTCAGGAGTCAGTACTGTAGACGGATCAGAGCTTAAACTCAAAGTCTTCTGCCAATCCTTTAAAACAAACAACAGCGTTTTAGATCTAAGCTCCATGGTCGTCACAAAGCAGACGAAAAATGAGGAGAACACTTTGTATAAAAACTGCAGAGATCATTCATGATATTTTCTTTTTTCTGATGAAAGTTTTTAGTTGTAAAAACTGTGTAACACTCTTCAGGGATGCTGAGGTTTTTCACCACTTGCTGGCTCCCAGTGAAACCCAAGACCTCATTAAAAAAAGCTAACAAGCAAAGTAAAATGCTGAGTTCAACCAGCTGTTGTTAAACTTGTCTGCTGACTCCCAAAGGATCATGTGGATGTGGGATACTGTCCAAGGGCAGGTTACCTAGGGCCTGCTTTAGGGTGTCCTGCTATCATCAGCAATGTTAGCATCACTGACAGGTAGGAGTCCAGTTCCTTAGCTGACCTTTGTGTAGCCCTGCCATGTCTCTGATATTTACACATTCACTGAAAGTAGTAGCATGACCTATATTTGGCCATTTATAGCCACAGTTACTTTTGTTTTCAGCTTTTAACTTAGTTTAACTCAGGGCAAGCAAATTCTGCTCGGACACTTTTGATCTGATCTGTGGGGTTCTGCAAGGCTCAATTCTGAGTCCATTATTTTTTATTTTACATCCTTTATTTAGCTGAGGTCATTAAATGTTATCAATTCTATGCTGATGGCATCCAGCTGTCTGTCTTTTAAGCCTTGCCATCTGGATAGGCTGCCCAGTAATGGTAATCTTGTTGTATTTGATTCTTCTCTGAGCTTTGACTCAGATGCAAAATCTCTATGGGGTCTGTTTTATATAGAAAAGTACAGACAAGAGACACGAGCTGCGTTTGTTCTGCAGGCTCTTCCTCATCTGAGGTACAGGAGAGTTGCAACGGCCTATCACACTCACAGCTACTTCTCCCTTGTGGCGATGCTGCGCAATTACATCATCATAGCTTCAACTGAAAAGAGCAAAAGCACAATGAAATAAGGCCTTTTACATGAATAAATGTTTAAACCAAATTACAATGTTGACCATACACTTGTAGGTGCCACACAAGCTCGAAGCACACTTCATTTATTTGCTTTACATCGACTCCCAGTTGATTTTAGAATTAGTTATAAAATTCTCTTACCTACATACAACAGTGTAGCACTCCAGCCTTGTTCTGTGGACTCCTTCAAAAGGCAGTTGAAAACGTTTCTGTCAGGTGTGTTTTTGTATTGCTTGAGCACTCTACAACTAACTTTCATTTTCTTACTTAGCCTTTATACCAATCATGTCACTGACCTGTTAGTCTAATTACATACACATGTTCAGCCAGCTGTTTCTTTTCAGTACCGCTTAGTTATGTTTAAATTACACTACATTTGCATGCTGAAAACCTTTATAAGCGTCTTTTAGAAAAGGTCTTTGTGTGCATTAAGCAATGTTTCCATGGCATCAAGGGTTTTTAATGTTGGAAATGACCAAATTATGATTAAATGGAATATTAGCATTAAAGATCCAGTTTAGTTTCATTGGACAAAAAGAAACGCTAAATGTATTACAACAGAGTTAGAGGTCAGCAACATTAATGCTCAGCTCCCAGATGTCTAGTCGATTTTGTGATTTATTGTCCTCTCAGACCAGCAGGTGGAGATAAAAGTGGAGGAAGGCTCAGAGTCCGTCATCCTGCCCTGCAAAACAAAACCTGACCTGCCTGATGACACCACAGTGGAGTGGACTCGCTCTGACCCAGAACTCTGGATAGTCCATGTGTATTTAAACAGAAGTGACCACCTTAAGAAACAGGACGGCCTTTACAGAGACCGAACAAAGATGAATGAAGACCTGCTGAGAACTGGAGACCTCAGTCTGACCCTGAAACACCCCACAGAGAGAGACAGTGGAGGATACATCTGCACCATCTACAGGGACAAAGACATCCTGAGACAGAAAGTAGTGCTGCAGGTCAAAGGTCAGCGATATATATCAAAGGTTCTGTATATGTAAGCCATACTTGTGATATCATTATTATTATGTTTTAACATTAGGCTCTTTTATTGTTTTCTACATAGAGCGGTTTCCATCCTGGGGCATAGCGCTCCCAATTATTCTGGTTCTCGTTGTTTCTGGAGGTCTGTTATTTTATTTCATGTCAGGTGAGTCCCTCCTACATTACCCATAACACTGACGCTTAGCAGGTATCCTTCCAGATTTTGGTTATGTAGGTAGCTTCAGGGTTAATCCTGGGTTTTCTGTGCTATGAAGGTGGTTCATTTTTTAACAGGGAAAATCGCCATGGTAACATATGCTGTGAATCTCCAAAAGTTGATTCTGTTCATCTGGACGTTGTGTTTTGTGGGAGAAACGTTTCGTCACTCATCCAAGTGACTTCTCTGCTGGGGAAATACATTTGACTAAAACCCCCTAAATGACATGCAAACTGTGCGTTGCATTGTTACAGGAATGTCAGTGCAACAAGTTGAGGACTTGTATAAACATGTATAAACCCCGCCCCTTTCATGTGAACTTGCAGGATAAACTCTGGGTTAACTTAAATGATTCATGTGACCTTCTATCAGAATCGCAATGATGGACTAAGTGAATCCAGGTAACAGAAAGATATTCTGGGCATGTTGAACTGTTTTTGTAGTTTAGTGTCAGAAGCTGAAAGAGTTGAGAGTTACAAACAGCTGATACAGAGAGCTGAAGAGAAACTTCCAGGTTTGTTCCAGAAGTCAGAAAACCTCCTTCAGACTCAGTCATTGATCAGTGAAACAGCTCCACAACATGACTTTACTAAACAGCTTACACCTTTCATAAAGTCTCGCAAGAGTCAGCTTTCTATAGATATAAACAAAATGGAAATGTACTGATACGTGATCAGAATTACAATATTTCTGACTGCCTGATTCAAAATGAATTGAATTGTCGATCAAATCAATTCTGAAAATCAGCGACGATACCCAGCCCTAATCATGTTGTCCTTTGTTATTCTCTCAGTTTACCAGGTGGAGGTGAAATCGGGGGTGGAGTCTGTCCAGTTGCCCTGCAAAACCACAGTTAACCTGCTTGAAGACCCTAAAGTGGAGTGGAAGGACAACGATTACAGGACGGTCCATGTGTATGAGAACGGCTCTGACCAGCCTGAAGAACAGCACAAGGATTACAAAGGCCTAACAAAGATGAAGAGAAACTTTCTGGAACCTGGAGACCTCAGTCTGACCCTGAAATACCCCACAATCACACACACGTACACCTGCACCGTCCACAGCAGGGAGGGAAAGATCCTGCTGCTCTTTGTCAGTGGAGGTGAGTGCTGTAGATACAGGGCAGAGGTCAGAGGTCACTGTAAAAGCTCAGAGATGAACTGTGAGTGTCCACATCATCCATGAGGCTTTCATGAGTTTCTCATAATGTTTGTTTAGCATGTGGCTAGCATACTGCTAAAGCTCAGTCAGTCCCACATATATGTGTACGCTGTTAGCGCTCACATCTCAGTCACAATCACTACATGCATGTTTTTTTATGAAAACTTTCTGATATTCCACATAAACACATGTGGAAATATCACAAGTCTGAGTCGATGAAACAAGGAGTGGAATTGGAGGTAATGTTACCGTCATTGTTGTTGTTGCTGTCTGTATCACTTACACGTGCTTCACTGTCTTCTCAGTCCCCCAGAAGGAGGTGGATGCAGGAAAGGACTTTGTACAGCTGTCCTGTAAAACCACACTTGATTTACCTCATGATGCTGAAGTGGAGAGACGCTAACAGGAAGGTCCACGTGTATCAGGATGGCTGTGATCAGCCAGATAGACAGGATCAGGATTACAGAGGCCGAACAGAGATGAATAAAGACCTGCTGAAATCTGGAGACCTCAGTCTGACCCTGAAACACCCCACAGAGAGAGACACACAAGTCTACACCTGCACCGTCTACAGCCAAGAGGGAAACATCGTGTTTAAGAAAGCAGTGAGCAATCTGAGAGTCAAAGGTCAGAGAGGATTTTATTGGTTCACACACTGTGTTCTCTCTGTGTTAGACCTACACTATCTTATACAGGCTCCATGCTTTAGCCTAACGACAGCTGGGATAGACTCAACTATGACCCTGCACTGAAGAAGAAAAATACTGGGGCACCACTATCAGTGACGGAAAATAGAAACGGAAAGCGTTATCTCACAGGATGAACCATTAATTGATTTATAATCAAATCATCCATAATGAGAAATCTAAGCAAGCTTTGGATTAGATCATATAAAGACAGTAGTGTCATGGTTCCTGGATCATTGACCCAGTTTTGTGTTTTGTGGACTCTCAAGCTCTGCATTCAGTTTGTCTCCTGGTTGTTCTGTTGTTACAGTACATGTGCAATAATGTCCCAGCTGACACAGGCAGGAGGGAGAAAACATAATGTGAGGAGAAAATTGTTAGAAGGCAAAGAAACTCAGACTCAAGATATCTTTTGCATGTACATACATGGACGACCCCCCGTCCCTGGTCCGATCTGCTCTGCACCATTCAGCTACTGCCTACGTGTGCACAACAGATGTGACACAGAGGAAACCGCCCAGGGCTCTCAGCACATTCTTTATTTATACTTCAAGTAAGTTTCCAGAGCAGTAGGAGTGGCATGTATGGAACTGATAATATCTCCTTAAAAGGAGAGACCTTTAGCTTGTCTGTTGAAACAGGAGATAGCTTGGTATGTATAGAAAACAAAACATTCCTTATAAGGAGAGAGACCGTTAACTTGTCTGTTTACACAGGAGGTAGTATCGTACGTCACAGAATTCCTCTACACATATGTTTTCACTCCCTTTCTCTGTGGTGGTTCCAATTCACAAGCTCTTCTTCCTTTAAATGAAGCTACAAATAAACATAACACAAAACTCAAAAATCTTTCATCACATAATAAAGACAGACAACAAATAGAAACGCAATGAATCTCCGACTGCTACAGCTGCAACAGAAAAAGTAGAAAATAAAAGCACAGAGCATCTGGAAGACAACAATATGAAAGAGCCTGCAAGCGACCAGCGGACCCCGTCCCAGGCAGGGCACATGAGTGTACTAAGTTTAAAGTAGGGATTTGGAATTGATAAGAATTTAGTGATTCCGATTCCATTATCAATCAGATATTGATTTGGTTTCTGGTCGATTTTCATCGGCTCTCTGTGAGCGTGACCACCATCACTAAGCAGCAATAAATTATTTATCTAGTTAAGTACATGCTGTGTGATCAAATGTTTGTGCGTGTTGGAGCTATTTCCCTTCTTTGTTGCCATCAGGATTGGGGTCGTTACTTAAAAAAACACCACCACTCCCACCACCAACCGAGGCAGACACAATTCAATTCAATTCAATTCAATTTTATTTATATAGCGCCAAATCACAACAAAGGTCTTCACACAGATTCCCCAAAATGACACCTGCAGATCTCCAGCCCCCAGGAAGCCGCCAAACGACCACAGTCACAGAAAACCCCACAGCCAGCTGCAGGGCATACAGGGAGACAAGCCTCCAGCCGACCACCATCAGTGACCATGTAGTTCATTGATGGTGGTCGGCTGATCTGGTCAGTGATCAGTGAAACAAATTCATCCAGTTGTTTTTATGCAGACATTCTCCTCAAACTGATGTAATCTAGAAGTAAGTAAATGAGTCTGAAATTCCTCACAGAGTTACTGGAGGCCAACATGACGCCTCCAGACTAAGTATCTGGTTACAAACCAAGAGTTTTAGGACCGAGTACAATTACCTCAGTTTTATCTGAATAGCATGTATATAGTTATCAGCAGAGTTGTCTGTGGAGTACGTGCATGTGTTTGAGTGTGTAAGGCTCATTTTTCTGACATTACTGGATTATTCAAAATTTAAATGGGATACGTTAAGACTGTTACTTTTAATCATTCTCTCCGGGTGTTTATATTGAGGCTTTTAAAGCAGTTATGATGCCTAACAAGCAGATTACAGATTTGTACTTTTCCACAGAGTGCTTGTTCTTGGTCCAGCCATGACCAGTCTAATAGGTTTAATCCATTCTGAAACACAGCACTTTGTTGGATAAGAAGTAGTGTAAAGAATGTGGTAGTTGTAGATCACCACTGTGTTTTGGTTTTTGTAGAGTTTTTAAAGTTATTCTCAGGTGTCTATCTCAGAGGAACTCTACATCTTCGGTCAGGATGGATTATGAATGGAGAGATTTTTTTATAATCTTTGGGCAAGTGCAAAGTATTTTAAGGCTTACATTTGTGAGTGAGGTTGGGCAGTAGCTGGATGGAAGCGTAGGATCTTGGGCTGGTTTAAGAAGCAGACTAATGATGGCAGAGATCATGTTTGGAGATAGTGTGTGATTATTGTAAATCTGAATTACCATCTTGAAAAAAGAAGGTGCCAGTGTAGGCCAAAATGTAAAATGGCTGGAAAACCATGTGGACCTGGGGCTGTTTCAGAATTCAGACACTGAATGAGGTGAATCCAGAAAATGGTACATTAGTTGGATTAATCTGTGATGAGTATAAAGCTTCATAACAATCTTTAACATCTTTATGTGTTTATTGTTGATCATGAGGAATCTTCCCAGTGGAAGCGTTTTTTCCTTATTTAGATTTAAGTGGTTTTGGGGGGAAATTTTCCAGATTTATTACCATGTTCAAGGTTCTCCAAACGCAGCTTTTGCATCAGAAACTGTTCGCTTGTGAATTATTTCATTCTAGTTTTAGTTTGTTGGTTTAGCTTGTTGTTGGTGAGGCATCACAGGCAGAGTCTAATGATCGAATGTCTTGTTCAGTTCTAATACAAGCCTTTTTCCCTCCTTTGTCTTATGTGAACAATAAGATATTATGTTAGCCTTTCCAGCTTCCCATAGAACACACGGTGATATTCCTGGTGGGCCATTGTTATCTAAATATGTTGCCCATTCCTTTTTTGAAATAATTAATGAAGTCTTGTTCTTTAAGTAATGATGTATTTAATCTCCGGCTCCAGTGGTGTAAGTGAGCGTGTGACTGATGTACTGGTGATGTATATAATTGTGTTTCCCTGCTTTGCAAACATTTAAACTATATTCTTTGACTTACTGCATTAAGTCTCCCGTGTTCTGCGTATGAGTGCAATACATGAGATGTTCTTGTTTGTCTGTATCATGCTGTACATTAGACAGATAGCTGCTTCTAGTTAGATGTAGTAGAGAAGAGTATACAGCTGTGGTTCGTTGACCTGGTGTGAGGGGGTCAAATTAGTGTCAGGTCATACATGCAGAAATAATTGTCACTTCTCAGATGTGACAATTAAGACTCAGATGAATGAATCGTTTCTTGTCCTTTCTCCTGGCTCTCAGTATTATTGGAGATAAAGTATCTGAATTTCAGGAGCGGCCCCACACCTCCAAACACACCCCACGGTCCTATCTATATATGATCCCCCAGTTCTACAAGCTTTTCCTGCTCCACCCTTCAATCCTTTCACTTCTCATTAGTACATGGAACTGATTTGACTTTGATTTGTGTAACAAAGTGATTTCCACGTCTCCTTCATGATGTGACAGTGTCAGAGCTGAATGCACTTGTAGAGCATCATGTTTTTATGGCTCACATTTAAAGTGTTGCAGCTCTAATGTACAGCTGTCATATTAGAAATAGAAGCAGCTCTGATTTTAGTGCTCAAAGAAATCTATGAAGTTATGAATTCACACAAGAACAGTTTTCTGCAGCGTTCCTCTCGGCCTTATTTGCAGCTCCACTCTTGTTTTTGGTCTATTGTTGTTGTTTGTCCTTGTCTGACTGTCTTGTCTCTGCAGGGAGAGTTCAGGTCCAGGATCAAACAGGGGACATCAGGAACAGAAGCAGCTCCATTGATCCGACTCCTCTGATGGCTGATCAATCAGTTTGATCTGTGTGTTCTTTGATTATTGATCGTTGATGTCAGACGCTAAGCTTTTTCGATCCGGACATTGCTACGGATGAACTCATCAAACGGGTTCTAGATCCAGATGAAGTTGATGATCATGACTGCAACCGTAATCTTATAACTGTAATGCCCAATGTGATGTGGTGTGAACACGTCAGCCGAATTGTGTTCAAACTGCTGAAGCTGCAGCCCGAGGATAGACTCACTGCCCGCATGTTATTGAATGACAACCAGTGGATATGGATTTCCCATGTGACTCCAGATACCATCGATCGTGTGAAACATTACGCTGGCATCAAATCCACTAAGTGAAATGCTGTGTGATCCTTTTTCACATTCTAATCATTTGTACCTTTAATGTTCATCATGCCCCCATATATATTATGGGTTTGGGTTGTTGACAAATAAAACAGATTCATCACTCTATCTCATGTGGTTGACTTCTTTTATTGACACAGCTTATATGTTATACAGGTAGGGACATGCACAGGAGTAAATAGTAATACGTACAGACAATGCAAGACACACACAACAAAAAACGGTAAGGTGTGACTTGTGTCCTGATTCTTTTATATTGAGGATGAAAACAAACAAAAACTGGTTGTTAAGAGATATATTCTAAAATACTTCTTCAGTAGAGAATCAGAGAAGAGAAACACAGAATTTCTTGCTAGCAAGGGCAGCCTCCAGAACTGAGACTCGCACTGAGGACTGCCCTGGTCTTTATTTATAAACTCCAGTGAGCGTTTGTTCCTTACATTGGAGTGTGTGTGTGTGTGTGTGTGTGTGTGTGTGTGTGTGTGTGTGTGTGTGTGTGACCCCATAAATGACTTCCCTTAACCTGCTGGTCTGGAAAGTCCAACAGTTCATCTATATGTAAAAAGGCACTTAGACTAAAACTGACATAGCTACGTTAATCCTACCGTAAAACAATAAGACAAGGTACGACCTCTCCCATGCTCGTAGGATGTGGGGGTGAATGCCAGAACACCCTGGAGTGTTACAGACCTCCTAGGATGAGACATTCTTTCAATATGCCACCAGCTATATACTTCTAAACACAAATGATTACATGCAGTATTCTACCATATGCAAACTTATATCATTAAAAGATTATACTGACTACGAAGTACAATTTTCCATTGACACTGGTCCAGATGAGTTCAGTCAAACAATGATTTTATTGAACACACGCATGGGGAGCATCATCAGCGTAGATCTCCGCTAAAAAGCTTCAAAATGGTTTTGATATGTCAGGGTTTAGCCCCTTCTTGCGTCAGCAAAGCAGATAATATGCATCAGTTACAGTTAATGACAGTTAGACAAGTTTCCATTATCTGCAACCTTTTTACCATACATGGCTGTTTGTTTCAACCGTCTCACCCTCCAGATGTTTCTCGTTGACTTGTTCTTTTCATGCTTATCTTTAACACGTCCTGCATCAACAGTTGCTATGCAAGCACAAATGCAGTTACAAGCTAAATGTATCTCTCACTTCTGACCTAGAACTTATTTGTGTCTGTAAGCGTGCTTGCATTGGCCTTCTTGCGCTCTAAGTCACCTTACACAATATATTGTCTGGACATTCACACCAGACGAAGCTTAGGACCTTAAGAGGACTGAGCGCCAACTCTTTATGAGCGCATTTTAAATTTATGTATAAAAATAATTACAACTCCACATTTAATAAAAGTTTTAATAAAGTGGCACTAATAAAAGCCATGTAAGCAATGATATATTTTCTTTTATTTCCACACTTGACATAAACACATACAAGCCAAGTGGCGATCATATATACATAAACCCTAGAACGATCACAATCAACGTCGCAATAAGCCCTCCAACGGCGACAGTAGCTTTTGAACAGCCACTGAGCTCTTTTATCGTACTCTTGTACTCTTCCATCGCATTTTTCAGCCTGTCAACTGCAAATTAAAAGAAAAACAAAAGTGTTAGGACATATGTAACACACTTTGGAAAAAAAAAAAAACTGCTAACATTGTTGTGCCCTTACTGTGTGGTGATATGTCTATCAAGTGAACACTGGTGTTGATGGGTTCCAAGAACTGTAAAGTAGGCAAGGCTATAGAGTAGAGCACATGACATATCATTATCATTTTTTTACAATAGCGACAAACATCCGCGGACTCTTGAGCTATGTTCACGAACTACTGTACATACACTCGGTGGTAGAAGTTTCGCTTCTGTTCGATTGAACAGACCTCGTCGTTTGCGAGCATGTCTGATCATCTGCCCCTCTTCGTTTGTATATACACATTCTACATTTGTCAGCTCCATGACCTTCAGGCATTGTGGCGGCTTGGACTTTTGAACAACAACCCGCCGGGATTTCTGTTTGACTCATCGTGTGATTCCATATCTCCATTACACGCCACGTAGACGGGTTACTATGGTATAATATACACCCCAGTGTTCAAGTGTTCAGGTTTGGCGAAAACTGTGAAAAGCTCCCCCCCTAACATGTATTGCCCTTCGTCACTGCAGCTGAGGAAGCGGATAGTAACTTGGTACCCCGATCTCACGGGTGTTACACTGTACAAATGGTTGGTGGGTGAGATACGCAGTCTGTCTTTGTAAAACACAGATGTCGGACTGTCTAAAATGCCTGGTAATGTGATAGCATCTGCCATTCACCCGATCACAGCGCTCTCTGTAACTGCTGTTTTGTTTAATTGCGCTTTGACTAGAGGACCGGCACAAGAAACACAGCGCAAAGGTTAGCGCTCGCACAGCTGCATTCAAGGAGTACATTGTCAATACAACATCCGGCTTCTACGAGCAACTGTCAGATCACGTCTTTATATAATCTCACGAATTCCCCCCGACTGAGCGCACAGTTCCCGACCAAAAAACCCACCGGACCCCCGACCAAATGTAATTTTCTAATTAAACATACACAGCCCCGCAACATTGTGTGTTAGGCCTAGCTTTGTGTTCACAGAGCAACTTAGTTAAAAAGCACAAAATGTGTAATTTTATTAAGTTGCATAAAAGGTACAGATCATTCCATGTTATTCTTCATGCGCTTCTTTATTTGTGTCTTATTATGTGTCTTAGTGTATTGCTACACTACACATAATGTTCCATGCCATGAAGAAGTGTGCTGTGTAACTCAGATGCGAGGTCCGAGACGCAAGGTCCAGACCAAGAATCCTGTCTATGTGTGTGTCAGCCTCTATACGCGAAAAAGTATGGATGTAGATAACACTAGGAGGGTCTTGGAAAGATGTGTTCACGCGGACCATGTGACATATTAGTGCCAAGTATCCTGACGAGAAACATCCTACAAATCGGTGGAAAAGAATATCATATATACATAGGCGAACTGTGTTTCGCGGGACGCAAAAATCCGTCCAGCTTGCTGGAACAGATTACCAGTTGGTTCGCTGAGCTTACGTCGAATCCCAGCTTGCGATGTTCAGACGTATTGCCGTAAGGAACATTTGGTACTTTGCATAAGAAAACAACACCACTGACCGGCAGACTCACTATAGCCACTCTCTGTATTGCCAAACCACACGACCCTGACGAATCAAGCGACTGCATACCTGCCATCTGTAATACACGACAAGCGTGTCAAGCATGATACGTCTGAGACAATGCCACCGATCGAACAGCATCTCGGCTACTTATTGGACTTATGTTAACCCTTGTGCTTCCGTGGGGTTTCTGTGGCGCTGATGACGTGCGGGCGTCGCGGCCCGAGGGGACCCCCAAGCAAAGCGCAGCTGGGGCAGTTGGTGATCGCGTATCTGGAGCACATGTGCAGGTGGCACCGGGTCTTGGCCTTGATGTCCTTGCTCCTGCGATACACATGCCACGCTTTGTCGGTGGGGTGTCACGTGACCCCTCGGGGCACCTGGTTGCAGCGGCGGCGGGCTGGGCGAGCACTGGGGCGATCGCCCTGGCCTCAATCGCGGGGAGCGCAAGGGCTTTGCCTAACCGCTCAAGGAAGAGCCTTCACCTTTTGAGCTCGTCGTCGTAATCATTTTGGTCATCCCGGTACCCAGAAAAGTACCAAGAGCAAGGGGTGAGGAGCAGCACGTCTACGGTGACCTCGGGGCTTGGCCGGTACATGCAAGGCAGTCTCGCGCACCACTCGTCCCAAATGGCTCTGATAGGGGCCAGTTTGTGGTAGCCGCGCTCCTCGGGGTCGCGACACCGCCTGGCTTATCTGGCCTCTCGGTTGTTGAAACGCAAGGTGCTCGAGTAGACCTGGAAGGTCTTGAGTGACATTGCTGCTCTCCAATCCTTGATAGTGAAACGTGGCCCGTCGTGGCGGCCGTGTCCTCGGTGTCGCCGCTGCACCTCCTACCTCGATCTTATACTTCCACTGCCACGGTCCAGTGCATGACATAGCCTTCCTTTTCTGTTACGTGCTAGCAAATAACCGCATGTAGGGAAAGTCACGCGCCTAGTGCCCGCAGAATCCCTCAAAAAAAGCCGCAGCCTTAGTACCGCCAATCTCCACTCTTATCAGTTTGGGGTACTCCACTACCCCTCTTGCGTTCCTTGTCCCTCTCCCTCCGACAATGCCGCCACTACGATGAGCCTGTCGCTTGGGGGTATTACGCTTCCCCCTGCGATGGGGGTACTCCTATTGCATTTCCCCGGCCTTCTTTTCTCGTAGCCCCAGCGCTCGGGAACCACAGACACCCCCAAGAGCTTAAACCCCATCAGGGTTAAGTTTCAGCCGCAACTTAGGGACTGAAAGCAACCGAAGTTGACAAAAGCGAACGAGTGGGGACAGCAGATCAGACAAATAAACAGGAGCCAGACCATTTAAAGATTTAAAACCCAATAAAAGAAAACAGATTTAAAACGGATCCTAAATTTGATGGGAAGCCAATGTAGAGAGGCCAAGACTGATGTGCTAAAATTTCCTTCTACCAATTAAAAATTGTGCCACCGCATTTAACACAACTGTCTCTAAATCAAGTAGAGCAATTGGTAGAAAAGCAGAAAACAGACTTGAGCAAGAAACATGCATGGCCAGGTGAGCAATAGATAGAGTCGGAGGTCTCAAGCTAGAAACCTTGTCCACAGAAAAATTAATAAAGTGATTGCACGTAACATCAGAAGACTGCAAAAGAACATATTAAGTACAGAATTTATAGTGTTATACAAAACATGATGCATGTTATGCAAGCTAGCAGCAATAAGTTGAGAAAAATAAGAGTGCTTGGCGGCCTTTACTGCTCTCTGATAAACTTTCCAGACAAACATACAGAGTCTCCTTTTTCCACCCTCTTTCACATCTTCTACATTCTTTTCTAATGGCTCGGGTAGAATCAGTTAGTCAAAGACTAGCCTTGGGCATGCACTGTCTGAAACTTAAAGGAGCAACAACATTGAGGACAAATTTACAAGCAGAATCCAAATAAATCCACGCAGGCGCTATCTTGAGAAAATCAAGATGGCAAGTATCAAAACTCCAGGTTTTGATAGTATCAAAACTCCAGGTATTGATACTCAAGGGTTTGAGTTTTCACTCAGAAAACACCGGGCCAAAGACAAAATAAATCAGTCTGGACTTGAGAAAAAATCTGTTCATGTGGTAATTTTTATTTTTTGGTTAATAACTTTTTGTGTGCAAAGTAAACTCATATAATGATGAAAAACAAAACTAGAGGGTTTGAAACAGCTTTGTTAAAAATGCCTTCCTGTCTTTAACGACACCTGGTAAATACGTTTTTATAAAATGAACTTTCATAGGCGGGTGTCTGTGAAGGTTCTCAGTCATCCAGGTCATCGTAGTCAAAGGAGCTTGCAAAGAAAAGCGTCTGGACTTCTTTAAGTTGCTTGAAGATGTTTCACCTCTCATCTGAGAAGCTTCTTCAGTTCTAAGGTCAAATGGTGGAGAGTCCCAGATATAAACCTAGTGGGAGTTTCCCCCCACAGAGGGACAAAAGGACCCCCTGATGATCCTCTAATAGCCTGAGCCAATCCTCTAATAGCCTGAGCCTTAAGATGCAGATGGACTGCTGAGCTGCTCAGCAGTCCATCTGCATCTAAAGGTCAAAGGTCACTCTTTCGCCCACTCACATCCTGGGCCATCTGACCTCAGGAATTCGCATGATAAGGTGGGGCCAGGTTTCACAATGAACACACCCGAAACTCTGGCTGATTGGAGCCCACGCCCAGTTTCACACCTTGGCTCAGGCGATTAGAGGATCATCAGGGGGTCCTTTTGTCCCTCTGTGGGGGGTCACTCCCACTAGGTTTATATCTGGGACTCTCCACCATTTGACCTTAGAACTGAAGAAGCTTCTCGGATGAGAGGTGAAACGTCTTCAAGCAACTTAAAGAAGTCCAGACACTTTTCTTTGCAAGCTCCTTTGACTTTCATAGGCGGGCTAATAATTTGTCCTCTTCTGTAGTGTGTATAACGTCTAACACCTGATCTGGTGTAGGATAAAATATTTGAAGTATTCATGTCAGCAACCAGCTGTCGTAGACAATCTTTGATAAATGTAATGTGTTAAATCTTAAATTTAAAAAACCTACCCTTAAGGATACTACAGTTACTAGCTACACTCTGATTTACACATCACACTGATACGCACACATATTCGAGTGGTTCCTAACATGAGCGTAATATTTACATCAGGACTAACTGGATGAAAAATCTCAATGATCAATTTTTGCTTCAGTTTCTAGGATTAAAGCTCAATATCTGTGAAGGATCTTTGACCTGTACACAAGGTGTTTGTGGCTGACCTTTGACCTGCAGCTGGATATCTCTCAGTCTCCGTTCTTCTCTCCCATCACTGATGGAGCAGGTGTAGATGCTGCTGTCAGTCTTTGTTGGTTTTCTCAGAGTGAGGCTGAAGTCTCCAGTGTCCAGAGCATCAGGTCTCATTGATGTGCGCCCGCTGTAACGCTGGTTTTGTCCTCTGAGATCGTCTGTTTCGTCTTGTCTCACATGGACAGATTTGGGATGGAGATCACTGCGAGTCCACATCACTGTGGGATTCTCAGGTATAAACCCAAAGTACTGACAGGGCAGCAGGACAGATCTTTCCCCCTCATTCACCTCCACCACCACACCCAGGGCATGCTGGGAAACTGAGGACACACAAATAAAAACACAAAAAAATGCCCATCGATGACATCATTCACAGCTGTAACCCTCAGGAGGCAAAATTCATTCAGGTTAATACTGTGTAATGTTACATTATTAGTGTATATTGATTACATAGATTCATAGTAACTGATGACAATTCTAACACTTTAACATCAACGACTAATAAAAACCTCTCCTCATCTCCAGAGTCGGGCAGTAAATAATTAAGTACAATTTTCTGGTATCTGGATTTCAGTACTTTTTTGTGACTCCTTTTTACTTTTACTCCCTACAATTTTAAACAGATATCTGAACTTTCTACTCCTTACATTTTCAAAACAGACTCGATACTTTTGGGGAGTTATTATTAGTATTTCATCACTGAGACCCTTTAACCGATTTGAGCCTGAACAGAAACTCATCAAAGTAAATCCTGTTAATTTATTAATCACCAGGAGATATCACATAAAAAGACGTGTCAAAGTCAGGGGTTAAAAGTGGTTAAAGGGTTTCTTTTGGTTTTGTTTTTGCCACAACACCTGAACAACTGCACGTGTTGTAAGTTGCAGTACGTCAGCATCTACAGTATATAAGTTTACTGTGTAAGCTTGGTCTGACAATGGCAGCTACATGATGCACATTGAAACTTAGCCTGTTATTTGAGTTGTTACTCTACAAAAGTAAAAGGCAATGTATTTTTTTCTGTAATTACTTACATCTGTCACTCTGGTGTTTACTTTGGTTAGCCATAGGTTTGTATGAGACCATGCATGCAGCACAGGGCAACCCCGTAGCATATGTTTGTATCATCACGGGCACAAGTAGCGTTCTTCTCACTTTGTGGGAGTTGAGGTGTGTTTTCCCGAAACTGTGTTGGGTAAGATAACAAAGCACTGAATTCTAAATAGATGAATTACAAGTTATATTTGTACACTTGGCTTCAGGTAAGGTCATCTTTAAAGACCTAAAATTTGATAGTTTTAATCATAATTTAGCAGAGTAGAGTTGTTGTTGTTTTTTGTTTTTGTTTTTAAAAAAAAGGTTAGCTAGCCATTACTTTTAGCTAGCAAACGTGCTTCACAAATAAGAGAGTACATTGTCAGTTTTTCCACTTATAATTAAAATTTGTCACTTGTCAGGGTACAATAAATTGTTATCAGGAGAGAGTCCAGCCATTTCCCTCATTTTGTATGTGGATGAGTTTGAAGTGTGTAATCCGCTTGGCACCTCAAGAAAAAAAAAGCGAAAAATTACAGCAGTGTATTGGATATTAGCTAATGTACCGCCATTGCTCAGGTGACATTGTGTATTATATTAACATTTTTTACTATTTAATTGTGTCCTTCTTCTTCTTTTTTCACAGCTGAATAATGAATTCTAAAGGATCACCACTGTTAACTTGGAAACAACCTTCTTAAAAACTGGACCAGACTGCACACACTGCACAGTGGACACACTGCAAGTCCCATAAGTTTACAATTTTAGACTTTTCGCCTAGTAAACTGTTTTCTTTTTTATTCTACAGAGTTCGATGGAAACAAAGAGAGAGGTCGCAATCCGTTGCCTGATGGTGTATCTGAAAAAAAAAAAAAAGAGGAGGATCTCTTCAGAGAACAGCTGGTAGGTAAGTCTCACTTTTTTGTTTTATTTTTAAATGGTACAACAAAAAAAAAAAAAACCGACATGTGCCCTTTTAACCTACTTGGCAGGATAGTGAGGAACAGTTCCCAGAAGAAGTGGTAAAGAATGTAGTCACCAGCATTTCTTCCACCCTAAAATTGTGATTGAAGGAACAACTGTCCTGGAAGACCTTGGTGTGCCCAAAGCGTGTTCCTTATTGATGGGGCTTATATACGTTACCTTTGTCGCGTTGTTGAACATTAAAACGTTTTGTCTTTTTCTTTTTTTATTATTCTGCGATATTTACCAAGTTGATAGGTTAAAGTTAATGCTTAATAATAAGCAGATTTGCAAAACCAATTGCCTTACGTTGTAATGTTTGTTTTCTGAGGTATTTTAGAAGGGCATGATTTAAAATTATTGTGATTTGGAAGACTTCATAGTTTATTGACTGTTTTATTTAATATACATTTACAAATCTTTATAGTGGTTCTCAAAGTTGATCATCAGGCCCCATTGCTCTGCTTGTTTCCCAGCTATCAAGACTCTACACAATGTTGATTGCCTGGTGTGTTCAGTCAATCGGAATTTGAAGACACCATTGTGGAGTAAAGAAAATGGAGTGAATTGGTATGTTTTGGCTTCTGATTCACTAAACAGACCTTGTCCAGGTAATAAACATTCTACATTTTCTTTCTTACTGAGGTCGTTTGTGGAGGGATTCTACTGAAGTACAGTTAAAGGGCTGCTCTTTGATTTATGTTGTATGACACGGAATTGCATTACTTGGAAAAATTTTTGCAATAAACTATTTAATCAGTTGGAATAAATGAAATAGCTATGTGAGATTTTAGAAAAGTTACTTTAGAAACTTGACACCATTTGCAGGATAGGATAGAGTAAAATATATGTAAAAAATGAGTTAGAGTAATGTCATTTTTTACTAATTACTAATGTAATTTGTCAACTTGATATTTTAGGAAAATCTAAATTAATGTTAGGTTGCTTAAACTTAATTATGTGTTTGGAGGTCAAAGTAAATCATGCTGGTTTGTTAAAGCAGTTGTGTTAGCCAAACCTAAAATTTACTTGCTGGATTTACTTAATAAGTAACTTAAAGAGTTGAGCCAACAAAACATTTTTTAGAGTGAGGAAATAGAGATCTATTTTTATTAGTGCTGTCTAAATTAACGCGTCAACACGGATTAATCCATCATCATGATTAATCTGATTAAAATTTGTAACCCAATTAACCCATCTGGAGTGCAGAATGACTCAAAATCCCTGAAATGTTTCTCTCAACGAATTTCGGTCAGTTTGTCCAAGTAGATTCTGGGGTAGGATCTTACGTGATGTCCACGAACGCACCACTAACATCCACACCTTCCCAGTTAACAATTACTGGGCTTATAAGAAAGCTGCGATTCACTACCAGATGGCGGCATTTGGCAGTCTTGTCCATCCAAGGTGGCCGAGAGCATTAGGCAGCTAAGCGCTGTAGATCTCTCCAGGGAAGCTACTCAGTATAAGTATTGCCCTTTAGAGAGTGGTAAGTGGGACTCTTGCGTTTATCATAATGTGGCATGTAGTAGGGTGGACCTTGACGACTGTTTCCCTCTTTTGTTGCAGGATTGTGCTATACTGCTGCTGTCTTGTCATATGCTGTTTTATTTGTTATGTGATGCTTTTCTAGAGAACAGTAACTTGGGGTGTAGTTGTTTTATGTAGATCTCTTTTACTAATTTGTTTAACGTTTTATGCTTTGTTTTATTGCTTTAACGGAGGTGCGGCCGCTTGTTGAGGGGCTGGGTATGTGAGGTGGAGTCCCCTCCCTGATGCATTAGAGTTTAGAGTTTAGTGTAAATTACATGGGTGAGTAATTGGTGGCACCCTTGGGTACTCCTCCCTGTAGGTTGCCGCCTCAAGTGGCCGGTCTCCACTATTTTGTTTAGGGTTTTTTTGGTTTGTTTTTTTATCAAGCTATGATTGTTTTAGGGTAGCATCGTGGTAGGGAGTCTGGTCATTTTAATCATCGGTTGTTAATAAAGTGTGTTAATTAACTATTTTGTCGTCTCAACCCTGCTACATTAGGTGCCTTTCTGATTTTATAATTCTATGTTTTTTAGTAGTTCTTCTTAATACTGTAAAAATATTATAAATGGAATAATACTGTAAAGAATGTTATTAATGCAATTATAATAATGCAGGTTATATGGCAGCAATAAAAGAATTTCTGGATCCCCACAAAAGTGATAAAAACAAAAGAAGAAGCCATGGGACTAATGCGTTATTTTTGTGCCTCTATTCTGAGCACACGTAGAAAAAGAATTGAGCGCATATAAAAAAAATTTGTGTTGCAAAGTGTTGCATTTTAAGGAGAAATTTATTTTGAGCGAAGAAAAGCTAAATTTGAGTGAACAAAATTCATTGCTACGTACAAAAAACGTATTTCAGTGTTTGCTATTATCCACACACACACACACACAATAGCAGCCCCTCTCGCTCAGTTTGTGCATTTGCGCTCGCTCGCAATGTGTTGCTTGCACGCTCAACATTTCTGCCTGTGTGCGTTCAACTCTTTCTGTACACCGTTATATTTGCTCCACAAAACCAACCAATCACAGACTTGGATGCAAAAAAAAAAATCTGATTGGCGGTTTTGGTCTCCAATCAGCTCGAAATGACAAAATGCAATATCCCAGAATGCATTTCGTCCAAAACTCAAACGAGGCAGGGGCGGAGGAACACAGAGGGGCGGAGTTTGAAATATTACTCTTTCTGGGTCACAAAATAAACTTTTAAGATATTTTCATGCGAGAATGGTGCTGTGTAAACTTTAAATATCTGCTCGATTAGCAAGACATCACATATTTGCGAAAGTGCTCTAACGTTTTCGAAGATGCCATGTAACATTTCAATAGCTTTTAAAACACTGTCAATATTTTGGGGGGGGGGCTTTATTGTCTACATGTAGAGCCCTCAAAAAATTAGTCAACGGAATGTCTATCTGGATGCTACACTTTTTTCTTTGAGGTCTAAGGTCCACACCACAACCAAATACACACCATTCCGTTTAATGTATGGGAGAGAAGCAACATATCCTTGATTGTGCATGAATTAAATATAATCTTAATTAGAAAGTGTGCATATCGATACTGGCTGCAGCATCTTTTCTGCTTAGTTTCTAAATGCAAGACACATTTTACAGATAAGGTAAGTGACTAATTATTATTTCTTTATATTTGTATCTTTATGCAAAGTTATCAATGGCGAGCACACCTTTCAGTATAATGTGTTCACCTGTGAAAGTGTATCAAGAGTAAAAAGTGAGTATAATAAAAAGTGTTAATAATCAACAAAATGATAAGACTATCTTTGTGGCAACATGAGTTCAAAGCTTTATAGTAGTATAATTTGTTTTAAAAATTAGTTATTATTGATAGTTTTTTCAGTTCATGTTTCACATGCTTTATTTGCCTTTGTGATTGTAATTGTTAATTAAAATTTGAAAATTTTAGCTGTCCTCCATCATTCTCCCAGAGGAGTCAAGTTACAGTGTATCTTCCACAAGAGACGCACAAGACAAAGTTTAAAAAAAAAAAAACTGTAGAGGAAAATATAGCAAAGTCACAAAAATTACAAAAGGAAGACGTACAAAACCCTTCTGTACAATGTTGGAGATGAACTTCTTCTCCCAAACATGGGGAAACGTGGAAGGAAGATAGAAAGACTAGATCCAGATTTTTCAGGTCCGTACACCATTCATAAAATCTCTGGCAAATGTGTTAGATTCAAAAACACTGAGGGAGCTACTTTAAAAATCAGTACAGTATTGACCATATTAAGCCGTACAGAAGAAGCCACCCTGCAAATGTCAGTGACAATGACAAATGCCCAACTCACAGTCAGCCAGTGAACAGGAGCACAAACCTGAAGATGCCCCCCTGCCATCCTACTGCTAACCCTCAGTGCCAGCAAAGATATCAGACCCTCTAATATTCATTATGCACCAAAAATGGCTGACAAGAGTTGTGCCTCCCACCAAGAGTTAAATTCAGTGCCAGGACCAGAAACGCTTGAACAAGAACTTCCCTTCCTGAAACAAAGCATATAAAATGAAGGTGGCATAGTGAACATCTCTTTTTGACCAGTTGGTCATTTGTTGCCAGTTCCAACTTGATTCACTGTTGCATGACTTTGTTTGCTGTTATTGTGTTGTCTTCACTTGACCTGTTGGTCAGTTTAGCTGTCTGGTTTACAGAGAGTGGGCATGTCTGATCATTTCCTTCCATCGTGGCTCAAGAGTTGGGAGTTCGCCTTGTAATTGGAAGGTTGCCAGTTTGAGCCCCGGCTTGGACAGTCTCGGTCGTTGTGTCCTTGGGCAAGACACTTAACCTGTTGCCTACTGGTGGTGGTCAGAGGGCCCGGTGGCGCCAGTGTCCGGCAGCCTCGCCTCTGTCAGTGCGCCCCAGGGTGGCTGTGGCTACAATGTAGCTGCCATCACCAGTGGGTGGATGTGGCTGTGTCCCAATTCAGAGTCTGCACGCTTGAAGTACGCGCACTACGCGTACTACGTACGGTGCGTACTATAAGTACGAGAAGTGCAGAAGTGAGAGGCTTGTAAAATGGGACGGTATACGCTTTGTTGTGCTGTTCAGGTTGCCTAGCAACCATGATACTAACCGCGAGACACGTTACAGCATTGTTTGACAGAAATGAAGGAGAAAAATGTTTTGTTGGTCAATCATTTTTGTCATGACATCATACATATACATATATATATATATATATATATATATATATATATATATATATATATATATATATATATACACATACACATATATATATATATACACATACACATATATATATACACATATACATATATATATACACATATACATACATATATACACATATACATATATATATACACATATACATATATATATATATATATATATATATGTGTATATATATATATATATGTATATGTGTATATATATGTATATATACACATATACATATATATATATGTATATGTGTATATATACATATATACATATATATATCATTGTGAAACCTGGTCCCACCTTATCATGCGAATTCCTGAGACCAGATGGCCCAAGGCGTCTGGGAAGGGATCTCAAAACTGGATTACTCTCTGCCATCTATAATCCAGTTTTGAGTTCCCTTCCCAGACGCCTTAACGCCCACTCACATCCTGGGCCATCTGATCTCAGGAATTCGCATGATAAGGTGGGGCCAGGTTTCACAATGAGCTCACCCGAAACTCTGGCTGATTGGGACCCACGCCCAATTTCACACCTTGGCTCGGGCGATTAGAGGATCATCAGGGGGTCCTTTTGTCCCTCTGTGGGGGGATACTCCCACTAGGTTTATATCTGGGACTCCCCACCATTTGACCTTAGAACTGAAGAAGCTTCTCGGATGAGAGGTGAAACGTCTTCAAGCAACTTAAAGAAGTCCAGACGCTTTTCGTTGCAAGCTCCTTTGACTACGATGACCTGGATGACTGAGAACCTTCACAGACATAACCCCCATATGTTAACCCCCCCTCATCAGTAATGATCGGGGGGGGGGTTATGACGAACTCTGAAAAAGTATAAGTGTAACGGATCCAGGGACTGCCCGCCGGATCTGCAGGAGGCTTTTATGCTATACACATCTCCCATGTACATGGTGAATAAAATTGTCTAATTGAATAAGCGTTCGTCTTGGAGTGATTTCTCGTTCCAGGTCAGAACCAAGAGATCGGGGGGGGAGTCCAATCTTCCGTCAATTGATAGACGTGACGATAGATTTACGCTACGGCAGGATGTTTTGACAAAGTTTTTTTTTAATATATATATATATATATATATATATATATATATATATATATATATATATATATATTTTAAACTTTATTTACAAACAACAGTATAACATACAAGGCACCGTCATTAATCTGATTATGTTACATCCTCGGTTGAGCAATATAGCAAAAAAAAAAAAATGTTTTGACAAAGTAGGACGTTTTTCCAGAACACTGGAAGCAGCGCAGACACGAGGCTACTTTAGCATGGCTAACTAGCTCTGCCATACGGGAATCTGTGGCTACAAAGTCCACAGTCTGTTAGTCTGGTCTGTTTCTAACCTTCCCTCATACTTTTACTATTAAAGCCTCATCATTAAATCTGTATTTCCAACACTCACGGCAGAGGCGCGAGCTTCACCTGAGTGCAGCACAGAGGACTGTCTGTGGAGCTGCTGCAGGTTAAACAGAGACTTTCTTACCGTTCACGAGGAGCAGGAACACCACCAGCGTCTTCATCCTCCTTTAAAAACAACTCAAACCGACACAAAGTCCCGTTAAATCCTCTGCTGATCCAACGAACCCACACCTGGACACACCTGCAGCTCCAAACACGCCCACGCACAAAGTTTACTTTCTGTTTACGGGAAGTGAAACCGAACAGAGGAGGGGGACTCTACATCAGAGGCGGAGCCAGACATTTGAAACACCCGGGGCTTAGCCCTGAAGGGTAGTATGCATGTGGATTTTTTTTTCTTTTTTCTTTTTTTGGGGGGGGGGTGTAGAAATGACTGAAAGATTAATTGGCTCTGTTTTGAGTTTTGTTCAAAAAAGAATGACTTCATATAGGGAAAAAAAGATATCACATATACAGGACACCTTAAACTAGTTTTTTAATTAAGCAGCAAGGCAGAACAAGGTCAGGGCTGCATCAAGACACGAGGACTAAACCCCAATTCAACCAGACCCAGAACTGATCCGGAATTAAAACAGGACTACAAGAGTTCAAAATCAGGACTACTTAGGATTTAACCAAGACAGAATCAGAACTAGATGATAGTAGCACTAAAAATCATCATAGACCTGCAGTACATTTATTTTTTAATTCTACCAAAGTACACTATGTAGATTCACAAAAGTTTATATAATTATTTAGCCTTGTTGTGCGAACAAGCCTGCAGAACTTAATAAATGTAGAATTTGAAAAATAGCAAACCTAAAAAGAAACACTAGGTACGAGATACATGAGGACCTATGATACAGTGATACTTTTGGTAAACAACCATTTGACTAACATGTGTGTCTCACCTGCTCTTGTTCATCTCTGTTCTGTCCTCATTCTCCATCTCAATCTCTGCTCCTCTCTCTCCCTCTTTGTGCTGACAATCATCAAATATACAGTTGAAACCAGATATTTACAAACTCTTCAGATAAAAACACAAACACTTTTTTAATTGTAACATCAAATCAGACTAAATGTTTATTTTTTTAGATTGATAAATATAAAAAACATATTTGTTAACTTTAAGAGTAAAGAGAGAAACTATCTGTATTTCTTAATTGCAAATGGCACCAAATTGTATTCAAACTTGAGCCACATTTATGGAGCTCCACAATTCTTCTCCTGGTGTTTTGGTTGATATCTCTTAATTTTCCCATTTCAAAGAAACAGGCTCTGTGTTTTGCCTTATATGCATCCACAGCTGTGCCACCAGTTTACTCACATGGACTCTACTAACCTATCAGAAGCTTCTTCAGCTCAGAATGGAATCGTCTGGTTTTCTTATTAATTAACAATAAACTTAGTGTATATGTACTCCTAAATTTGATGAAAGTGATAAAAAAAATAGAAGCTCTGTCTCTCTTTATTCTGACATTTAACTAATTCAAAATATATTTCAATATTTATCTAAAACAAAAGTTTACTCTAAATTGATGTTGTACAGAAAAAATGTTTTATGTTTTCTCCCTAAAGTGTAAATATCTGGTTACAAATGTGAATATCCTGCTGTGTACTGAAATCCCTCTTGTTTTGCATAGAAATATACTGAACAACATACAAAGCATAATATATAAAATAACATTTACCTGAGTTTTTTCTTTGAAAGAAGCCTCTAATGTCCATTCTTATATTTCAGTACATAACTGAAACCGATTTAGTCGGGGAGGGTAAGAACTGAAAATATGAAATAAACACACGTAAGATAAGACTCTATTAAAAAAAAAAAAAAAGCATTTGTTCGGCTTTTCATTTCGCCATTTGTTGATTCACTTGAAGAGCAAGTAACGTAATATTGGTCAAGTGATCAGTTTGATATCAATCTTTCGTGATTCACCGTCATTTGTACGGTATGAATGATTTGCTTTGGTACCTGGTCAAACTTAAGCTCTCCTTAGTATGGCTGGCTCCGTTACTCCAACAGCGCACTCACAGGCACAAGAGCACCTGGCTGCAGCCCCGCCCCCTCGCTCAGTTGCTTAGTGCCTGAGCTCGGATCATACCAATATCAGGGGGGGATTCACGCACAGTCGTAAATTCCCACTGTGTGCATTATGTGCTTCGAATATTGTGTGTACTTTTTGTTTTATACAGTTGTCAGCCAGGCATCTAACTATGAAAAAATTACACTCCAAAAGACCCCGGGCTTCTGACAAAACAACCCGGGCTTAAGCCCAGTAAGCCACCCCCACGCTCCGCCCCTGCTCTACATCTACGTGCACAAAGGTTGGTGTAACAACAGCACTAGTGTTGCCTACAGAGCTAAGTACTGTAATAATCCCGGCAGTCTATGTAGCACTGGACGCCAGGGGCGATTCTAGGATCAGAGCTTTGGGGGTGCTGAGCACCCAGAGAGCTGCCCATCCAGGCAAGATAAACTTTACTCGCCACAATGAGACTTCTTCCCTGTCTCTGTCAGTCCCTGCATCCTTAAATGTCTCCAGTTGTCCCGAGTTCCCTCTGTTCCTCATCGTCTGTTGTCTTCATCTCCATTTTCAGTCATAATAATTTTACCATCTCTGTGCAAGTCTGCAAATTTCTTTATTAAATCGTAAGATTCTTAAATTCATCAAGTCTCTCTGTGCCTGGGTCCTCGTCACAAAACATGACATCCATGTTTTGTACATTTTAACACAATTGAATCCCCACATTTGTGAAAGAAAAGCAAAACACTTTTTTTAAAGTCTGTAACAAAACCATCAAATCTGATAAAGGTTATTTAAATGCTGCTAAAGAAGAATGGATTGGAATAAAACAATACATATCCTAACCTTAATTACTGGAGGAGAATGATGAATGATGCTCACAGTGAGTAAAAAGTAAACTGAGTGCATTTTTTGGACAGAGATTCGCTTTTAAAGTGTCTGTATAATACAATACAGATACATAAAAATACACTCCAAAAATAGAAGAGTTCTTGAAATGTGCAAAATATTATTAATACGTTAGAAAACCTGAGACACCTTGGCCTATGGTACAATGTATACAATGTATGAAAAGATGTTTACTGCAGATACTTCTATGGCCCTGCAGATCTTTTCTTTTCTTTTATCCTATGTCGCCTCAGCTTGAGGTTGGTAAATCTGTCAATCACATTTTGGGTGGTCAACTCTCTCAAGCATCTCTTTCTCAACTGACATCACAGCCAGGTGCTGGAGTCTGCTTTGACCCATGGTCCTTCTCAGCCAGGTATGGAGCTGACTCAAGACACTAAAAGACCTCTCACAGCTACAGCTGCTAACTGGGTTTATTAGGGCAACCTGAATAGCAGTTTTCAGTGTGGAGAAGATCTGATTATCCAGAAGATTGTACAATGTTAACATATCTGGGATGACACCAGCCTCACTCTTGAGCTTCAAAACATTTTTGGCAACCGTGACTTCCTCTGACTGAAGCTCAATATGGTAATGCAGTGCCAGGGCTGACAGTATGGGCTCAAAATGTGGTCATAAATATTTTGTACTTGTAAATCGGTTTTGGTACTTGTAAAAAAGATTTGTATGTGTAAAAAAAAATTGTGTGTGTGTAAAAAAGATTTGTGTGTGGACTTAGCCAAACAACCCCTGCAAGTTACAACTACGAATTTTGACCCTATTTTTCTTCCTTTCATCTGATTGGTGAATGTCATGTCAATCACAAATGTAACAATCCAATCAGAGAACAGATGGGTTTGGCTGTCGGAGGGGTGCTTTTTTTGAACTGCAGGTCTTTGAAGGGAATAAATGCCCTTTTACATGCCAACCCAGCGTTTTCCTTCATCACCACGAAGGAAAACAGTCTGTGGTCGTCCGAGTTTGGTGATTTTTGTGTCACAGGTCTACGTGTTTAATACAGGGACTTCCACAGCCTTTTCAACAGCGCTGCGGACGCAGGGGGGGGGCAGTGTTTTCGAAATGACAGTCTTCATTACAAAGCTTTCTTCGTTATGAATTAGCATACATGTTTTTATTGAACATTTGAAGAACTAGCAAAAAAAAACAAACTCTTGTAGAGGACATAAAGTCAGAGATAGAAAAGACAAGGAGCAGGTGCATCTAGTACAGGTGGAGCTGCTGCAAAAACCCACAGAGCCCAGCAGCCAGCAACAAATTCTGGATCCTTTGCTTTGCTTTTAGTTAGCAGTTAGCATTAGCAGCACATCCTGCGTCCGATGTGAAAGGACTTTTATGCTGCGCACTGTGACTCACAGCAATGGTCCCAGGTCAGCCCTGACTTTGTGTTAAACTAATCCTAAAGTAATAATGGTATTTCTAACCACTGACATACCACAACTTTATCCTTTCAACCAGAGGCGGAGCCAGACATTTGAAACACCCGGGGCTTGGCCCTAAAGGGTAGTATGCATGTGGGATATATAAAATAACATTTACCTGAGTTTTTTCTTTGAAAGAAGCCTCTAATGTCCATTCTTATATTTCAGTACATAACTGAAACCGATTTAGTCGGGGAGGGTAAGAACTGAAAATATGAAATAAACACACGTAAGCTAAGACTCTAAAATAAAATAGCATTTGTTCGGCTTTTCATTTCGCCATTTGTTGATTCACTTGAAGAGCGAGTAACGTAATATTGGTCAAGTGATCAGTTTGATATCAATCTTTCATGATGCACCGTCATATTTACATTATTTGTACGGTATGAATGATTTTCTTTGGTACCTGGTCAAACTTAAGCTCTCCTTAGTATGGCTGGCTCCGTTTCTCCAACAGCGCACTCACTGCTGGCAGCAGCTGCCCCACCCCCTCGCTCAGTCGCTTAGTGCCTGAACTCGGATCATACCAATATCAGGGGGGATTCACGCACAGTCGTAAATTCCCACAGTGTGCACTATGTGCTTCGAATATTGTGTGTACTTTTTGTTTTATACAGTTGTCAGCCAGGCATCTAACTATGAAAAATTACACTCCAAAAGACCCCGGGCTTCTGACAAAACAACCCGGGCTTAAGCCCAGTAAGCCACCCCCTCGCTCCGCCCCTGCTTTCAACAGCTGCTGAAAGTAAGGGGACCTAACTGCTATCGGATATTTATATAGAGATTACCCTTCAAGGACCTGCAGTTCAAAAAAGTGCCCCTCCGACAGCCAAACCCATCTGTTCTCTGATTGGATTGTTTAATTTGTGATTGACATGACATTGACTAATCAGCTTAAAGGAAGAAAAATAGGGTCAAAATTCATACATCTTGCAGGGGTTTTTTTGGGCTAAGTCCACACACAAATCTTTTTTACACATACAAATCTTTTTTACAAGTACAAAATATTTATGACCACATTTTGAGCCCATATGACAGCCCAGTTTGTTTTGCAGATTCTGTACAGCAGCTTTAATATAGGGAGAACACAACTTCCAGATTGTATGAGTCAAATTAGTTGTGGTTCTTTTTCTTTGCCAGTTTAACTTGTTTTGTTTTGCCTGTTAGTATTCCCTGTCTGTTTTCTTACCCAACACGTTCTCACTCCCAACTCGTCAAACGTGTGACGCATGGTCAGACTCCCTCTGCTTCATTTATAGACACGCAGGGTACCCCCCTCGCGTCGAGAATTGACGTGCAGGGTCCTCTCATTGAATACTATAGAGCTCCCTAAACGTTGTTTATTGACGACAAGAGATTGCCGCGGAAGAGCCTGTTGTCCGTATATTTATATATTTCCAAAATCACATTGTAGTGACGTATACAGAACACAATAAATTATACAATGTAAGCAACTACCTGAGAAACAGCAGATACAGCAGATAAATTAATTATAGGCTATTACCTTTGTATCGTTTATTGCATTTATGGAGGGAGTGATGTATGCTGGGTAATGGCACAGCTAGCTACTGGGTGACTTTATTCACCCGCTTCGGCTGTTATCAGTCCATACAATGGGCGTTATTAGCACAAATCAGTCCCATAGATATGGGCCATCTCCTGCTAGATTGTTCAGAAGGTTGTTCTCATCCATCCAGATGGAGGATCACTAACAGGAGCGTGATTTCTCATTATGGATGATTTGATTATAAATCAATTAATGGTTCATCCTGTGAGATAACACTTTCCGTTTCTATTTTCCGTCACTGATAGTGGTGCCCCAGTATTTTTCTTCTTCAGTGCAGGGTCATAGTTGAGTCTATCCCAGCTGTCGTTAGGCTAAAGCATGCAGCCTGTATAAGATAGTGTAGGTCTAACACAGAGAGAACACAGTGTGTGAACCAATAAAATCCTCTCTGACCTTTGACTCTCAGATTGCTCACTGCTTTCTTGAACATGATTTTTCCCTCCTGGCTGTAGACGGTGCAGGTGTAGACTTGTGTGTCCCTCTCTGTGGGGTATTGCAGGGTCAAACTGAGGTCTCCAGATTTCAGCAGGTCTTTATTCATCTCTGTTCGGCCTCTGTAATCCTGATCCTGTCTATCTGGCTGATCACAGCCATCCTGATACATGTGGACCTTCCTGTTAGCGTCTCTCCACTTCAGCATCATGAGGTAAATCAAGTGTGGTTTTACAGGACAGCTGTACAAAGTCCTTTCCTGCATCCACCTCCTTCTGGGGGACTGAGAAGACAGTGAAGCACGTGTAAGTGATACAGACAGCAACATCAACAATGATGGTAACATTACCTCCAATTCCACTCCTTGTTTCATCGACTCAGACTTGTGATATTTCCACATGTGTTTATGTGGAATATCAGAAAGTTTTCATAAAAAAACATGCATGTAGTGATTGTGACTGAGACGTGAGCGCTAACAGCGTGCACATATATGTGGGACTGACTGAGCTTTAGCAGTATGCTAGCCACATGCTAAACAAACATTATGAGAAACTCATGAAAGTCTCATGGATGATGTGGACACTCACAGTTCATCTCTGAGCTTTTACAGTGACCTCTGACCTCTGCCCTGTATCTACAGCACTCACCTCCACTGACAAAGAGCAGCACTTGTTTCTTCATCAGGATCTTTCCCTCCCTGCTGTGGACAGTGCAGGTGTACACACACACTGTTTAGTAAAGTCATGTTGTGGAGCTGTTTCACTGATCAATGACTGAGTCTGAAGGAGGTTTTCTGACTTCTGGAACAAACCTGGAAGTTTCTCTTCAGCTCTCTGTATCAGCTGTTTGTAACTCTGGGGGTCTTTTATTTCATAAAAGATCTCCAGAAACCCCAAGAACAACCAGGATAATTGGGAGAGCTATGGCCCAAGATGGGAATGGCTCTGTGTAGAAAACAATAATAGACCATAATATTAAAACATCATCATAATATTATGACAACATCTACAGCACCACTGACCTTTATCTACATCTCTGACCTTTGACCTGCAGCTCTACTTTCTGTCTCAGGATGTCTTTGTCCCTGTAGATGGTGCAGATGTATCCTCCACTGTCTCTCTTTGTGGGGTTTTTCAGGGTCAGACTGAGGTCTCCAGTTCTCAGCAGGTCTTCATTCACTGTTGTTCGGTCTCTGTAAAGGCCGTCCTGGTCATTAAGTTGGTCGCCTTCGTTTGCATACATATGGACCATCATGAGTTCTGGGTCAGAGCGAGTCCACTCCACTGTGCTGTCCTCAGGCAGGTAAGGTTTTGTTTTGCAGGGCAGGATGATAGACTCTAAGCCTTCAGTCACCTTCATCTCCACCTGCTGGTCTGAGAGGACAATAAATCACAATATGAAATAGTCATCTGGGATATGAGCATTAGTGTTGCTAATCTATGTCTCTGTGGTAATACATCATCATTTGGCCTCTTTTTTCCCATTGAAAGCTAAACTGGATCTTTAACGTTAACAATTTAATCATCATTTGATCATTTCCAGCATTAAAAAAGCCTTGATGCCATGGAAACATTGTTTAATGCACACAAAATCTTTATATTAGACACTTATAGAAGTTTTTATAATTTAAATGTAATGTATTTTAAACTATGTTTTCTTTTTTTGCTGTTTGTTTATTTTTTGACTGATCAGAAATCTCATTTTGAATTTGATGACAGCAGGAAGATTACAAACACTGGACAGAAATCCTTTGACTGATTCTTAAAAGCATTTATGGAGAAGCTGTAGTCATAGTCTGAGTCTTGTGTGAATATAAAAAAAAAGTTTATTAGTAGAGAGCAGTTATCAGGGACACAGAGTGGACTGTGGAGGATAGTCTATCCAGCTGTTGAGGCTTAAAAGACAGACACAGTTGGGTGTCATCAGCATAGAATTGATATCATTTAATGACATCAGCTAAATAAAGGATATCAAATTAAAATAATGGACCCAGAATTGAGCCTTGCACTACCCCACAGATTAGAGCAGCAGTGTCAGAGGAGGGTTTGCTTACCCTGAGACAAAAAGTCTTTCTAGACGAGTAGGAGGAACCTTCCTCCTACTGTGCTGAACCAGAGATACCAGCCAGCATCTTAAGCATTAAATAAAATATTATAGTCAACGGAATCAAAGGGACTTCCACCCACCAAGGAAGCTAACATTGCTGATGACAGCAGGACATCCTCAAGCAGACCCAATGTAACCGTAACCTGCTCTTTGGAAGCATCCCACATTCCAGACAAGTTTTAACAAAAGCTGGTTAAATACAGTGTACCAAAGAACTCAGCACTTGTTAGCTTGTCTTTACTAAATGAATTCTTGAGTTTCACTGGGAGCCAGTATTTACTAGAAAAGGCTTCAGCAAGTGGTAAAAACCTCAACATTTCTGAAGAGTGTTACACAGTTTTGACAACTAAATACGGTCATCAGAAAATATAAAATATTATGTATTTATGTATCCTCGGGGGGGTGGCTGTGGCTCAGGTGGTAGAGCAGATCAGCTACTGATCGGAAGGTTGGTGGTTTGATCCTTGGCTTCCCCAGTCTGCATGCCAAACATCCTTGGGCAAGATACTAACCCAGAGTTGCCCTCCGATGCATTCATCGGAATATGAATGTGTGTGAATGTAGTTTAGTTTGCACTTGAGTTTAGAAGTGCTTGTATGAGTGGGTGAATGAGGCATGTTGTATAGAGCGCTTTGAGTACTCCGGGAGAGTAGAAAAGCGTTATATAAAAATCAGTCCACTCTGCTATTGTGGCTAGGGATGGGTGTCGATTTCTATAATCGTTTAGATTCTGATTCATAAGGTCTCGATCAGTTCAATTTTGACTTAGACAGTGAGAAATCTTATAATTCTGATCATTTATCAGTACATTTCCATATTTTTATATCTATATCTATATATATCTATATATATAGATATAGATATATAGATATAAAAAAAGCTGACACTTGTGAGACTTCAGAGGTGTGCGCATCACAGCAGATGCCTTTGTGTCAAAGTGAAAATAAAACACAGAAAAATCTTTTTGCCTAGCTTTTTATATTACCTTATAATATTTTGCAGTAGATCAAAAATGAAAGAAAACCATGAATCAACATATTAAGTGACTGACAGAGAGAGCCATCCAGGAAGTGTGATTCTATTGTGGTGGAAGTAAAACGGCAAAAGTAAGAGGGAATTAAAGACGATGTTTATCAAATGTGAAGCTTAGTTTTGATCTACTTTTGCTGCTGGTTCAGTAAATTTTGGTCAGAGAGTGATAAAACCTGCAGCTTCAGAATCAGTGAGATCTCGCCTTTTAGTCCTGATGGCGTGTCTGTGTATGTGCCGTCGAGTGAAATGGTTTGTGTTTAGATGTTTTGTGTGGAATCAATGTACCTGCTGTCATTTGGTGTTTTGTGTCTGGTGGTTGTTAAAATAGTTTTGTGAGCTGAGATTCAGGTGTTCCTGGCAAAATACATTTATATTTAAAAATCAATTCAGGATTTAATGAATCAATATCGCTTTATTCAAGCTAAAATCGCACCTTAGTTGTGGCTTCCATGGAGCTTAGATCTAAAATGTTGGTCTTCGTTTATAACAGAATTGCCAAAACACTCTTTGTTAGGCCTGCGCTCACAGGCCTCACTGATTCAGAGACTTATCCCCATGAACGAAGCAAGACAACCAGAGATTGATGGGTTTTAACTTGCAAGGGAAGCCGGTCGGATCAGTTGTCTGGGATCTCACCTGATCCCACACAACGCCAAAGAACCAGCGTCCCCTTGCAGCCTTTATTCAGTCAACACACAACCCCATTGTAAAACCCATATGGTGTGTCATAAAGGTTAAAGGGACTGTGTGTCCGAGTCATCTCACCCCTCCTGTATACGGTTTAACCCCTTTAACGGTCTCTCATATACCAGTGCAGGTGAGCCTATAAATGGCAGGAAGTAAACATTCCTTATCAAATAAGGAAACCAGAATCTTATATGGAATGTGCCTGCAGTTAAACACTAATAGCTAAACCTCCTCCACCATCGTACATGTATGGTAGTAACAGAAAAATATCTAAACATGCAGTTTAAGAAAACTGCATGTCATTGTTGTGTTTAAGACAAATTTAAACACAACAATGGCAACTTTTAACCAAATCAATCTAACCTGTTTAACGTCTGATCTGTCTACAGTACTGACTCCTGAGCTGTATAAAGAGCAGGTGTTGGCATTTCTTGCTGACCTTTGACCTGTAGCTGTATAACTGTCAGTGTCAGCTCTTCTCTTCCAAAACTGATGGAGCAGGTGTAGTTGCCGCTGTCGGTCAGTTGTGGTTTTCTCAGAGTGAGGCTGAAGTCTAAAGTGTGCAGAGCATCACGCCTCATCGATGTGCGCCTGCTGTAACGCTGGTTTTGTCCTCTAAGGTCATCTCTTCCTTCTCGCTGTAGGTGGACAGAGTTGGGATCAAGATCATTGCGAGTCCACATCATTGTGGGGTCCTCGGGTGTAATACCTGAGTACTGACAGGGCAGCAGGACAGATCATTCACCTCCACCACCACAGCCAGGGCATGCTGGGAAACTGAAGACACATAAACAGACATAGAAATTAACTGCATGCTGTCTCAGATACCTCAGGTGAGAAATTAATTTAAGAAACTCAAGACATGTGTTTGAATATTGAAACGTTGACTCTTGACAACACAATAGTAAGCTGGTTTGACACAGATGTTGTAGATACATTTATTGTACATACAAGTGTTTCCTTCACCACTTAATGTGACTGTGAATATGTTGGAGCGCCATCTTGTGACAAGTTTAATAACTGCTGTTCCAGTAAAGCAACATTACAAAAATTATTCTGATGCAGGTCCTTAATGTGACAGCAGTGGAACAGCTGTCAGTTCAGCCTTTATCTTCATCTTTTATACTGTGATGTTTTCCTGTTCCTGTTACACACAACACTGTACCTTCTTGTACATCACACTCAATATGAATAAACTGCAGGCTGCTCGGCCACTCCGCTGAGGATAACCACCGTAGTAGAATCAGTTTAAACAAGTCTACACCATGTATACACATGCACACACACACACAGTGAGTAGTTGGCACTCCTGCAGAGGTATGTCAGAAATGTTCATCCTTGGCTCTCAGTACCTACAGACTTGTACGGTGACTGCGATGAACGCCTGTTTGTAAGACGAGGACTGAACCACCGTACAAACAAAGGGATTTAGTGTAAAACTATTTTAGGATGTTGTTCAGCGTCTCAATGATGGAAAAGCACAACCTTTGACTACAGTCTTTCATATTTTTACAAACAAAGCTTCTTTCCTCACTATTCAAGTTACTTGTTTGTAATACAGCTCCATAAGTTTTACACACAATCGGCATTTAAACAGTATTTAAAGTGTGTATCTTACTGTTGATGAGGAGCAGCAACACCAGCAGCATCTTCATCCCCCTGTAAACAAAAATCCAACTGGCAGAATTAACCGACACGGATGGATCAGAATCAGTGAGACATTTATCTCCAAATACTGGCACATAAATGCGAGTTTGCTTTTGGTTTCTTCAAGACTCTGTTCCAGAAAACAGGTTCAACAGCATTGACTCCAAGTTTTACCTTCAAATCTGTTATAAAACAACAGGCCTTAGTGCACAGCAATGAGGAAATAAAAAGCAGTCTCTCTGAAAACAATAACACTCAAATATGAATGTGTGTGGCACTGCATCATTATATGTGTATATATATATATATATCTCAAGGAAATATGTGAAGTTTAACGGTATGTGAAATCTATCTGGACATGGAAACCGGTGTTAATGTCATGGTGTAGGTAGGAATCAGACCCAAATGCAGAACTCTTCCAAGAGAAAACTGTCACGGCGGGGCTGGGCCGATTTGTTTTGTAACTGGACCCAGAAGCAGGACACAGAGGATGCCAGAACTTTAAAGAACTAAAACCGAACATTTTATTGTGGCCGATACAACACTGGGACACACAATAACACAAAGCAACACATGACAAGAACTAACACTAAACCTAAACTGGGCGAAACTAAACTATGTTTACTGGGACTCTAACAAAACTGTGATGACACAGATACCGACCTGAACATGATGGTGAGCAGGAGCATGAGGAAAACTGAAGGGATAAACCCAAAACTTGAACATGTCCTGCACACCATCATTAAACACACTAACATAACATGGGGGATGACAACAGACGACCTGACACTCACTGAACAGAAACACACT